GATCGGCAGCACCATCGGGGAGGAGCAGCCGCGTTCAGGCGAGTGGATGCACAGCACCCGACCAGGCTAACGGCTTGGGCCGTTCTTTTGGTATGGGCCGGCATGGGCCGAAGTTCCTTCTTTTTGTATACGTATCGGATTGTGCTGAATTGGGGCCCACAGAACCTTAAAACCCTCATCGGCACATAATCGAACGGCTGGGACTACACCCAGCTCCTTTATAAACAGACCACCTCTCCCGTCGATCATCACCTGCGGCTAGGTAGGGTTTCTGCTTTCCGTACTCGCCGCCGCTGCTGTTTCAGCGTCCTTTTTGTTTGTCTACTAGATCGCATTTGGTCAGTATCGTGGTTTGTTTTGTTTGTTTCTTTAGACTTATATTTTGCTCTCTTTTGTGTAGATAGGAATTTCTCTGTTTTTTCTTGCCCTTGTGGTATAGGATTTTCTTCTCTCTTTGTTTCTTCCCTGCGAGATATATTTTTTTCTGATATTTCTTCCCTTTGCGATCTTGGTGGACAGTGATGAAAAGCTCAATCAAAACACACCATCTTTCGGGGCTGATTGGCTCGTTACGAGCCATGCTGCCAACTCTGCAATTCTGATGTCCCCAATTCCAGGCCGCAGATCTTTCGCGCGTCTTTTCGTAGAGTTTTTGTGCTTCTTCATGCTTTTATTTATTTGTTTTCATTCATTTTGCCTTATTATACATTTATATGCTGCATCGTATAACTGGATCTGAATATTTGATGATGGCCGGTGATGAAACTCAGCAATCAAAAACACCATCTTTCGGGGCTGATTGGCTCTTTGAGCCATGCTGTCACACTGCAATTAATTCTGAGGCCAAACAGAGTAACTACTTTTGAGTCTGATACCGCATTGGTGATAAATTTTTGCAGTGAAACTATATTAAAGTTGAGTTAATATTGATAATGTAACATCAAGCAGATCAGACTGGAACGGGAGCATTTGCTGAACAATCCTATAAAAACTGAAGGCACTCTTGTTCGTCAGTCATGTACAGTGTTTCGGGGAGAAACTGAAGCTATTCCTGCCAGTCATGCATATGCACAACGGTCTGAGGCGATTCTTGTGGTTGAAACCACCAATCTGAAGACGAACGAAACATCCCATCTGAAGGAACGAAACAAGCCTTAAAGCTGGCAGGCGTTGCTACGGGTTTAAAAAACCATATTTTCTTGTATTTCAAGAGATCAAGTGATAACTAATTGTAAAAAATAAATAACTGATGTAATCTCATAACTCTATTTTCAAAAGCTACTTATATATTTTGCCATTTTTCAAGCAAGCAAGAAAAAAAAGCAGCTTTGCAAATCTGTAGCATGCATGGTGCTTTGTCATGCTTCCACTCAAGTTTTTGCTTCCATCTTGCAATCACAAACATACATTCTGAGAGCAACATATCTATACAATTGTCTAGTCATCACATGAACATATTCAGCGTTCATAGTCCAAACAACAAGAGTCAAATTCATAATTGGTGTACATTCAATGTCCACCATCTCAAAGACAACGTTACAATATTCAATGTCCAACGTATATTCTGAATATTTTAATTTTCACTGTCCAAACAACAAAAATTGCAATCAACATTCTTAGATTGACACAACAAATCAACAGTCACAAATTGACAAAGGCATTCAATCATTAAATTCAATATTGAGATAAAATCTCAATTCAACAATAAGTTACAACTTCTCTACTTCTGAAGCTTGGCTTCTCAAACTACTTACTATGGCCCTTCTCCAGAAGCCAAATGCTATGGCCGCCCTTCCTCCTGCACTTGTGTGGCAGATGTGGCCTTGCTAGCAGCGGTTACATCCCTCCCGGGGCCCATCGAATCAGGAGCCCTCTTACTGTAAGCTCATATTGTTGTTTGCTAAAACCTGCTAATAGATACATCGGTTACAAGCCAAGTCATACTAAGGCCATTTTATTTGCTCGTACAATAAATAATTTGACTGTTGTAGTTTTCTTGGCAGGCAAAAGGTGATGCTTGCAATTTGCTGACAGAGAAAAGACCTTATAGATAAGAATATTCACTATTATTTGCAAAAGTTGCATCCAGGTGAATTCACTAACTGCATTGTTTGATGCGTGTAGTGAGTTGGGTGCAGATAGAAAAAAAAAACAGATTGCACACTACACTCAATAGGCTGTATCTTTGAAATAAGAGCAGGATTAAAGGAGAGCATGTTGGCTTTCCTAAGTACAGACCTAATTTAGCTAGTACATGCAAAACTGTAGAATCACTTTTCTGAACTCTAGTTATGTGAAATAATTATTCAGGATTAGCTACAAAAGTGAATCTAAGAGACAGAGACTGTAACACCCCAGAAGAAAAAAAACAACAAAAATCTTCTGGAGAATTACCATAGTTCAGCACAAAGAAAACAACCCAACATTAGAGTATGCGGAAGCAACAATAATCATAAAGATCAACTATAAAATATCTTTACTGATCACTAAATTGTCATAACTCATCCAACCAAAAACCAGATCCAACATGAAGCATATAGTTTGAACCAACTAAACCATGGTTACATATTATTATTATTACAACACGTGTCCCACAGATTATTTGACTCCAAGGTGATGTGCACACGTGTTGCTACTCCCGTCCCAAGCATGCATCTTCCAGGCTCAAACACCTGAGGGGAAAACAACGTGTGAGGTTTATGGAAAACCTCAGCAAGCAAACTGCCTTAACTGAGTTATTCAAATCATAGTTGATTAAATATCAAATTTAAAACATGATAGTAGATACATCCATTGTTTCATAGAACTGTAATGTAAATATATTAAAAGTACAAAGGTGAATGATGCAATGCAATGCAAATGCGAATGATGCCATGCAATACATATGTGAATGATGCAGTGCAATGCAAATGCGAATGATGCCATGCAATGCATATGTGAATGATGCAGTGCAATGCATGACTTCACTTCTACCCACACGTCCCAACAAGAGGGAGTGAGGGCTGCAACCACAAAGCTCATCAATGTGCGTTGCTGTACCGGTACTTACCGCACCAATTTGGCTACGGTTTCCTCAAATGCATATCAACGGGAAGAGTGCAAATGCAAATGTTGCATTGTGAGTAATTCATGTACTTCATAATTCAATAACAAAGCCAAAAGATATAAATCCATATACTTCAAGGTAACTTCAAATTTAGATTAAATGTCTAGTGCGAGATACTAAAAATTAAGTGAAGGCAATTCAAACAACCAAGCTAAAGCATGGGAACCACATCGTCACGTTTACTTGCCTTCACCGAAGATCAAAAGTGAGAGCTAAGCACGATCCGAAGGTGCACCACCTGCTCATAAGAACATCTCGGTACTAACACCATCGTACAATCGAAACAAATAACAAATTATACAATTAAAGCGTCCCAAACCCCCGTTTAAAACATCTACCATCTCGCTACCGATTGTGATAGCAGCACTGTCCCTTCTCTTTTTCATAGACAAACAACCATACATTAATAAATTACTAAAATCTACCAGATGATAGAAAACTCATTTATGTACAACTTTGGTATTATAATATTTGGCATTAGAGGTCTCCAAGATAGCATAAACATTGACTTAAGTTAACTGAACTTTTCTGTCAGTCAAAACAGGACAGCAAAGTTATAAAAATCATAACTGGAGACATACTCGTCCAAACAACGTGTTCTCTAACAATATGGAAAGATAAAGAAAAACTCTACAACTTTCATTTAGATACCAAGTTCAAATTCTTCCAGTAAAAAGGCCAAAAACGGATTAGATCTAAAACTGTCCAGAAACTCATCACTGGAAAACAGCCTACTTCACACGATCATATCTCGAAGAATACGGAGGCTATGGGGGTGATCTTGGCGTCAAAAGAAAGATAACGAATTCCTCTACAACTTTGTCCATAGTGGCAAAAATTATTGAGGCCAATAAAACGACCTAAAACAGCGATGAACAGAAACTGCCTAATCTGATGGGGTTTCCGAACGTGGGCGAGATTAACTTCGGGAATTACTCCATCTAAACTCCACTTAAAAAAATGATTTGATCCATGGAACTTGGTCCAAACAAGGGGATAAAGGTTTGATGTCTTACCAAGAGAAACCGCAGCAAGCACGCCGACAAACCCTAGGCGATTCACTCCTTTCTTCTTCACCTCCCGGTCATCCTCGTCGCTGCGATAGGATCGTGGTTGGATCCCGGAGAAGAACGGCACGTCAACGGCGGCGCAAGCCCTAGGTCTCCTCTTACTCCTCTTCTCCCTTCGTTCCTTTTTCTCCCGTGCTAGAAGACAAGGGGCGGCGGCTGTTGGGCTGGCCAGGACGGTGGGGAAAAGGAAGGGGAAAGGACTACGATGCCGACCAGAGCAGGAGTCGGACTCCAAAGGTACGTAGCCGCGCGGTACTGCAGCTCCGTAATCACTGTAGCGTTTTTTCCCCCCCTTAAATCTTCCAAAATTCAAAGAGTCATGATCCGAACTCTAATCCAAGCACATGAGTAGTCAAATAAAAAGTATTTGACGAGCTCTACGCATTACTAATCTCCGTTCTTTCATGCGAGGAACGGATCAATAAGTCAAATTTTAGTCTCTCATTAAAAATTGGTCAACCTCTGCTAGATAAGGAACTTGATCCAAATTAAAATTCATATTCATGACTTCCTCTTTTTTTTTGTTTTACAGAGACTGAGAATAACTATGAGAACCTAAGCTGAATTTAAGAGAACTGCTTTTGTAATATGAACAATTGAACATGATTATTTCACATGCTGTAGTAAAAATGTACATCAGTAGAGCACAATGTGCAAGTACATTAAAAGCATAGCCAATCTAGTTGAAATGGCAATTCTTTCATGGTAAATGAAAATGTGAAATCTCTGAATCTTGCATAGCACATGGCATTGCCTCACCACCTTCTTCGTATATAAAATGTTTTCGAAACAAAATAATATGGAGTAGCAACAAAGGAGGAGCAATGTGGATGGGAGATATTGATGCAAAGTTGCATGCCAAGACTGAAGACCTACACTCCTACAGGCTGAAGCCATTCCAATCAGTAAATTCTGGAGCTACTCAAACCATCATAGTATACTATGTTCAGGACCTACTCAAAACGTATATATGACTGATTCATCAGATCATTTTGAAGCTCAAAGTATGGAATCAAATTGCCTGGTAAAATGACAGCTCTCAGCTCCAAACATTGTTATGATATATGCAAAAAAGCTCACAAATGAAGCTAGCAACTCAGAAATCTAGTTCAGTTAGAATTTTGACATGGCTCTAGTGACCAATCAGGCTTCCTGAAACAAATTAAGCTGAGAATTTTCATTTAGAGTTGACAGTTGCTATTGCTAGACTTCAGCAGCAGTAGCGAGCACCACAGGGAAACAGAGCTACAACATATTCCTTCTCCTTACCTCCATCTTTGTTGCTCCCCCCTCTCCGATCTGGTCGATGGCAGTTCCAAGGACCAGGGCAACACAGCTCCAAAGCTGACATATAGAAGTACCTGTAACCAAGGTATGCCTGCTGCTGCAACAAAAAAAGGAACCAAGAAAAAACAGATGCGGCATCTAGAACCAAGAAAGCAGGATTTTGAGCAGATGGAGCTGCAGAACTGAAATTAAGATTATTATTTACGTCAACTTTGTTAGTATTTGGTAGTTCCGTAGGTGTACTGTTGTTGACTTGTTGGTCCTAAAACTGAATGGCTAGCCACTTGCTACCGTCCTTTCCAGGTTCCATTAGTGGTTATAAGCGAGTAGCATCACATGAATTGCTAGAGGAACATGAGAAGCAGTGTTCTATGTAGCAGCAAACTGAAGAACCAATTGAGTCTAACCCACTCAGCCGTGCCCTCTACAAACCACAGTAACCAGACCAAACTGGCCACTACCAGGCTGGGTTGAAAAACCAACAAATCAATGTAAACCATGAGTGGACACTGTAGCCTATAAGGAAATTAAATGTCTGATCATACAACAAAACTATGATTGATTTTGGAGAGTCCAATTAACAGGGATCAATGAATCATAGATAACATACACGAACAAAGTGATCAATACCAATTTAGACATGCAAATATTGTCCGGGCAGTAGAGTGTAAGTTAAATAAATAAGAAAAGGGTTTCTTTGCGTATTCCTGTAAATCTTTATTTTATTCAATTCTAATCCAATTAATCCAACCAGACCAAACAACAACAAATTTAGTCATCTATTCATAGGGACTTTTGAGGATTCAGATATATTCTCATGACAACGCCAAATCCAACACAAGTTTCCGTTTTCCCCCCAATTAATTATTATAATCATAGACTTTTAGAAATGCATGGCTCATGCTAAAGTCAAAATTTCTTGAATTAGTCAGAATCTATACAGTACCAATGCTCGTTGACAGAAGAAAGTGTCCTACACAGCCTGGAATGCCGCAACCTCTACGGCCTCCGCGACGTTGACAGGCGCCTCAACCATATGCAGCCGACCGCGCTCGTGAGGTCGCAGGTGTCACCTCATGCCACGCCATGCTGCAGGAGTGAGAGGGGAGAGGGGCGCAGGAGGAGGATGACGGTGACAGCATACCAGGCTGCATTTTGGTGAGAGGGCGTCGTCATCGAGGACCTGCAGCCACACCGGAGCTGCCACTCCCCGAGGGATCGAGACGCATCCTCCCATGGATCCGAGCGCCGCTGGCAAAGAGGGCCGCCGCTGGATTTGGATTTAAGGTGAGGCGGCGATGGAGCGAGGTACAACGGCGGCAGATGGGAGGACGCGGTGCAGCTGTGGCAAACGGGATGGGGGCGCGAGGCAAGGTGGGTGGCGACGGACGGGGAGGAGGGCAGGAGGCGGCGGATGGGGAGGGCCGGAGCCTGGCGGGGCAGTGCCGATTTTTTTTTTTTTTTTTTTGCCCTTTTAAAGTTTTTTATAAATATATCCACGAAGGTATGCTTTCAAAATCTGGACCCTTAACTTGACACCATAGTTGATAACGTCGAGCTTAGCTTATACGTCTCGACGTCGAAAGGTTTGACGTTTAGATCGAGGGGCCACGTCGGCATCAAAGTAGAGGCCAAAGATGGTATGGCAGCCAGCTGGGCGCCGTGGACTTAGACACCAGCTTACGCCATAGATGTTGGCGCCGAGTTTGACGCCATAGACTGGCGTCGAGCCGGCCTTGCAGAGTCCTTTTTCTTTCCCTTCCTTGCCTTTTCCTCTCTTGCTTTCTTCTCTCTCGCTCGACGCCTTCCGCCGCCGGCGCCGCTCCCACCGCACCTCTCGTGCGTCCTGGTTGGGGACCTCTCCATGCCGGCGAGGCGGAGATGGTTGGGCAGTCCCCGGCCTAGGCCATAGGCGGCGCGTGGAGGTCACAGCACCAGCGGCCAAGGTCGATGCGTGGAGGTCGCGGCCCCGACGGCCGATGGTGGCGCACGGAGGTCGCAGCCCAGCGAGGAGGCGTCATCGTCTTTGCAGACCCGTCTCTGCTGTGAAAGTCCTCTCTCTGTCTTCCTCCGTTGTGTCTTTTTTTCTCCACTTCGTATGCAGTAGTCACTTGCAACTTGTGATAGTTAAATAAACTAGGTGCCGAATATGAGAACAATATTACAATTCTTCAATACTGTCCTGTACTCCAATGCGATTATACACTATGGTTTCCTTCTGCATCATCAGTAGTAGGTGAGATTGAACTTATTCTTTTCCAGCCTCATCTGCAAAGTATGTGATATGGAAGACCAAGAACTTGATCTGTTGTATGTAAAGAAGAGGGATCAATTGAAAGAAGTAGTTGCATCCATGATAAAACCGAAAATTGTGCAGGGTAGAACTCTGAATGGGACAGAGTTTGTATCCTTCCTAGGGCAGGTAATACTTCTTGCAGAGTTCATTACTGGTACTGAGTTTATTGATATATCATTGCAAAATATTATCTAAAATTATCTCTTTGTTTAGATACTTGAGGCTTTGAATAAAGGTGAAATTCCATCAACCGGATAGCTTGTTGAAATTTTCAATAAGGCCATTCTTGAACGTTGCTTGAAGGTGTACAATGAAAGAATGGGCAGAGCAGGTCTACCAGTGTCAGTGGATAAACTTCAGCAGTTTCATGACCTGGCAAAAGATGAAGCTAGAAGGCTTTTCAACAAGCAGCATTTCGGTAAACATCATGCTGCTCAGTCCATCTTCAAGCTTGATGAAGAAATTAAAAAGGTTTTCCACATATTTTGTTCATCATTTTATTCAGTCCATAATAAAATCTTATCTTTTGCATTTTGTTTTGGTCGTGAAGGTTTGCATTGCTTGCTACAGAGTTCAAAATTTTATGTTTATTTTTTTCAGAGACGATTAAGTATGAAAGTGTAGTGTTTCCACTACATTTGGTTTTTTCATGGCTTTCAGGGAAAGAACTATTTTTTATTTAGTATTGTGTGCCTTGCAACCTATGCAATATGGATAATATCTTCAGCATACTTAACCAGGTATTCGTTTTAGGTCTACAGAAACTTCGGTCAAGCTAATGAGTATCAGTCATCAAAGCTGTGCAAAGCACGGTTCTCAGAGTGCGAAGATAAAATGGAACACCTTCAAGTCTTGAAGCTTCCATCCATGGCAAAATTTGATGCCGGATTTCTTCTCTGCAATCAAAGTTTTGAAATGGATTGCGTAGGGCCAGCCAAGGAAAGCTATCAACGCCGAATGTCAAAGGTTTCTCTCGTTTCACTTACGAGTTCAGATAGCTTTCCATGAGGATTATCTGACTATAATAGCTATGATGGATTTCAGGGATAATGCAGCAATTAGGTGTCCTCTATTTTATGTTTGCCCAGTAACAAAATAATCACCTTTTGGCTGTGTTCCCTTTCCTGACAACGTTAAACTGAACCTAGTATTACCTTCTATGCATGCTTCCAGATGCTGGCAAGGTCCCGTGCTCTTTTCATCAAGGAGTACAACAACAAACTCTTCAACTGGCTGGTCATATTCTCCCTGGTCATGGTTGTCATTGGACGCTTCTTGATCAAGTTCTTCCTGCTTGAAGTTGCTGCGTGGGTGCTGCTTGCCTTCCTGGAGACATATACGAGGCTGTTCTGGTCATAAGAGTCCCTGTACTACAACCCCGTCTGGCACATGATCGTCTCTTCGTGGGAAACCATCGTCTACAGCCCTGTTCTTGATCTTGACAGATCAGGAATCTTCCTCCCTTCAACTCTACGTTGGCCATGGCATCTCTACTGCCTGCTATGCTGTGATATCATTATTACTCTTAGATGCTGCTGATCTACTTGCACAGATGGGCGTTCCCAATCGGTGCTGTTCTGTTTTTTCTGACATTTTATTGGCGTTGCCTCGTGGGATGAGGAATTGCCCGGTCACTGCTACCTCTGTATAATGGGTCTTACAGAAGCTCCAGCCGTAAGAACAGACTGATCCCTCAATTACAGAAGCTCCAGCCGTACAACAGACTGATCCCTCAAACTACATGCACAAACACACCATTAGCATGCACACAATTGTACATAATCCATATGTTGGTGGGCACAATTATCCATAAACTTCTGCTGTAAATATGAAACCCAAATAGAGTGATTATCTATGCTCAAAGGTTTATCATGCTCATTTCCAACAACTGGATTCTTCAGTTATGAGTCAAAACTCAGATGATAGGAATTTGAATTATACGAAATACAGAAAATGAAAAAAATTGACTTTCTTTTATTCTTCACCATTTCAACAACACAGTTGGAAGCCAAGCGTACCATATGACCTGGCTCCCAACAAGAAATACATCGAATTATATTTAGTCGATTCTCACTTCTCAGTATCTCACGGCTCAAAACATCAGGCATGACAACAATCCACTTGTGGATATTATTGTAACACAGCAGTAAAAGGACGTTAAAGACCAGGGCTGTTCCACTTCCATACCAACAACCAGAGTAACATGTCAACGTTATACAAGTTCATGTGAGATGGATTCATCATCTGCGTTGTTCCCTGGACACAGACGCCTAGAGAAACCACCATCCATTCAACTCTGCTGCCTCTTCCGAGCAATCTCCCGTGCCCTTTCCCGCAGTTCTTCTGGTGGTGGAGGGCGTGGGCCTTCAGGCGGATAAACCACGTAAGGACGCTGCAAAGGGGTACACAGGTAGTTTAATCTTGATGTAAATCTATATAATCCAAGGTATATCAACACATACAGGTAATGAATTCATCTTTTGCAAGTTTGTGACCCAATGGATCAATCAATTGTGAGAAATGGTCATTGATGAACATAAAGAAACGTCTGAGCATCTGTCAACAAACCATACGACAACCATGTCACTTAGCATTAGCAGTAGAACAAACTGCCATATGCATGCTACGTCAACAAGAATGTTCATTGGGAATCCAAACAAGAATATCTATAAGAAGAGTTATAGATAAAAATTTCACTACGAAGAAGAAAAGCACCCAAACTCCAAGGACTCGATACAAGCAGGCGTTTGGCACTTTAGTGACAGAACCATGACTCTGTTTCTTGTAATAGGATTTGTGGAGTCAGGGATTCAGCAGCATACCGTTGTACCAAAGCTTAATTTTTCTTCCTAAAATAATGCAAATGATACACACTTCTCAACATTCTAGTCGAAAAAACGAAGGATAATAAGAATGTTGCATCTAAACCCAATTGAAATTGCTTAAATGAACTAGCATCGCTGAGTAGAAGACTGAAATTGTGTCGCACCATCCAAATCCAAATCAGCTAAAACCCTAGCGGCCAAAACATGTGGCGCAGGTAGCAGCACTGAACCACAGATCCCCAATCGGTCTCAAGCCCTAGTGACACAAGCAGCAGCAGCTAATTCGCCTGACAGGGAGCGAGAGGGGGAGGGAATGAGAAATTGAGAAGTATAGAAGGAACGCACGAGGCCCATGAGCTTCTTGAGGGTCTTGGAGTCGGTGGCGACGAGGTAGGTGAGCGCGACGGGCACGGAGACGTAGACGCCGAACTTGGCGATCTCCAGGATCCCCCTGGACGTCCCCAGAGACGACATGGTAGTCCGCCGGCGGCCCGGCGACCGCACTCCCCCTTTCTTCCTTCCTCCGCTTGATTCCCTCCTCACCACACCCCCGTCGATTCCGCCTTCCTGTCTCTCTTTCCTTGGAGGCGGCGGCGACGGCGAGGCGGAGCACGGGCCGCGCGGCCGTGACGGCGAGGAGGAAGGAGCGCGGGGGGACGGTGCTACTGGAGAGGAGGAGAAAGAGGAAGGGGCGCCGGCGGAGAGCAGCCGAGCGGCGGCGGCGGAGGTCGTCCCGGGCGCGATGGAGATGAGGAGGGGAAGGAGAACAAAAGCAGTGCGTCTGCGGAGAGTACACCTGGGCATTTTGCGCGCCGGACCGGGTTCGGACCACGCCAAAAAAAAAAAACAGTTATTTTGGAAAAAAAAAGAGTCCCACCTATGACCATCCACCAGGTAAGTCGGGCCTAATTATTCGTACGACCTGAGCAAGCTGTCCGCACCTTTTATAGTATAAAATAGCTAAAAACATTATTTCAGTTCGAGAAGTAAGAGAAATTTTTCTGGGCAGCAGGATCTGTGCCCAAGCCCTGTCCAGTAAGGTTCGTGGGCGCTGGGCGGGCCAAAACCTGTCGAGCTCAGGTCGGACTCAATTTGCTCAGGTCTAGCAGGGAGAATTAACCTTTTACCATTATAACCGACGACGCCTCCTGATATAGCACTCTTACAGGTTGTCGCTACGTTTATGGCAATAGAGACAGGAACTCGATACAAAATTGTCACTTTTTGTTCGCGTGGCACACTGGCACCTCACCCTTGCGTGGATCCGAGTCAGCAGCCTTTGTGAAATGACCGCCCTGCCCCCAGCGTCTTTCTACATATACTCCCTCGCATGGCCCACTCGCCTCTCTTGTCCCCTTCTTTCTTTGCTCCGCACGACCTAGGTCTTGCCCGCCTGATGCCGCCGCCGTCACGCACAACTCCCCCCTGTAGCGCTGTCTCGCAGAACCACTATCGCGATGGAGAAAAGGTATGTGGCTACATGCAACCCTTTTCTGCGGTCTGCATTACAATATGTTGTTGGATGGGGACTAGGGTTAGGGTTCTTCAATTTGATTCGGGTAGGACTAGGGTTAGGGTTCTTCAATTTGATTCGGGTTTTTGTCCCTCTTTGCTTCGTAGGCAGCTGATGTAGTAGTTGGTGAAGCAATGGATTCGAGTGGTTGCCCTATTTGGTAAGTTGAATCTCTTTTTTTTAGAATTATGTAGTACAACGCAGACACCCACAACACGCATGCATACTCACCCCATGAACACACGTACGCTAACCCTATCCCTATGAGCACCTCCGAAGGACTGAGCCAACAGATCTCGAGATTCACGAAGTCACCACAAGCGCCTCGCCGTTGACGGGGACGTCGCCACCAGTGAAAGCATAGCGCCGATAAATCCTGGAATAAATCCAGGAAGATACGAGCACCCGTGCCAAGTCGATGACTTAAACCTGGGTGGACAGGTTCTACCACAAGGAACCCAACCAACTGATCTATGATCAATTCGCTGGTAAGTTGAATCTCTAACTGCATACGGAATGTTAGTTCTTGGTTTAGGAAACGTGTCGTGTAGGATATTGTCTAACTCCTTGATTTTGTTTTCTTGATTCATTTTGTCAGGATTTATCCTGGCAACGTATTTAGATTAGTTGTTAAGTGTGTTGAGTATGTCGTTGATGGTGAGTATGGTCTAGTAGAAATGGCTGAGCAGGAGCATGAACTCTAGTTGGATAGGAACTGGTAGTATAGTCTGCAGAAATTTCATGATGAAATAGCCACAAAGATCATCTAGGGGCCATCACAAACACTGTAAGTCCAGGTGGTTGACACTGAGAGTGGTTTTGAATGGAAAGTTAAAAGAGATGAACATTTTCATTAGCTGATAAAGGATAGATGGGATGAGCCATAGCTCTGCAGGGGAGGGGGGTTGTGGGCGGCGGTGGCGGACGGGCGAGATTTGGGTCCTATGGAGCAGAGAAAGAACGGGGTGGGAGAGGGCAGTGGGCCGCGTGGGGGGAGTAGAAAGACGCCAGGGGCATGGCGGTCATTTCGCACGGGCCTGCTGACTCGGATCCGTGCTGGCGTGAGGTGCTGGTGTGCCACGCAAACAAAAGTGACAATTTTGTATCTAGTTTCTCTCTTTGCTATCAATAGCATATATAGCGGCAACCGTAAAAGTGCTATATCGTTATAATAGTAAGAAGTTAATTTCCCTCATTTGCAGTTCGGATATCGACCTGAGGAAGGAGAAATCAGCTATACTCCTACGTAAGAGAGAGGAAAATAAAGTAAAGAAAGAAAATAAAAAATTAAAATAGCAAAGGTACCGAGTATTATGGACATTTTTTATCTACGTAATAAGATGTGTGATCCAAATAACCCTAGCTTCTTATTTATTAGCTATATTTTTTATCTAATTTGATTTGATATAAAATCTGCAGCAAATCTGCTTGCAGGTAGATGGACAAAACAACACTATTATTAAAGGCCTTCCAAACTGCTGGGATCAAAACAAAACACTCATGGTTGTCAATTTATTTGAAATGTCAAGGGAGACAAACAGCCTTATTCAACGACAGCTGCAAATGTTCCCAGCGATTCCACGACACAAAGAAGAAACCACAAGTCCGCCCGCGCAGTGCAAGCACAAGTGATAACTACAACACGAGATTACGAAACTTGCAATGCCTAATACATATGCATGTTTATGGTCTCGTTTGGACCCAACAGCTCAGGTTCCATCAGAGTAGATCCGGAGGAGGTCGGCATGGCTCCCATTGTCTCCTGGATAAGCTCCATGGCCCCCGCGCAAAGCGTAGCGATTTGGTTTATCTCTGTGGTATTCAGAGTTCCATTGATGGTTGGCTCTTCAGCTTGCAGTTGCAATTGCAATGGGTCTGGCATGGGCATGAAGCTGTTGTCAACCAAAGCATCGTCTGCTGGGGTGGTAGTGAAATAGTTGATGATGTCGTCTTAGATAGGCACTGGAACATCAGAGCTGGGAAGCTCTGGAATGGGTATGGAGTTCAGTGAGCTCATCTCT